ATCTACTTAATTAGTCCCTAGGTTCTGATTAAGGTGTTCTTTAAAAAGGTATTAGTGGTCTCCCCCTTTAAGTAACTTCCAGTCTGATAACAAGTGCAAGAAAATTCTGGATTTATTCCGACATAAGAACCCTTCACAGTTCTAGAGGCGCCTTGCCATGGTGCATATAAATTCAGTAGGTGCTAAGAACATTCAACTGAGGTTTCTAATTTTCTTTAGCCCCGCTGTCAGAGAAAGCAGAATCTTTATATCATCTTGTTCTTGAAACGTTGGCAGCTTTAGCAGTTTCTGAATTGACAGAGAAATGAGCAAAGAGTAAGAACTGGTATCATAAGTCCCAAACAAAACAAACATAATTTCAGATAGTCATCAAAAGTTAGGTGTCTTCATATATCACATCAAACACACTTTTCTATTAAGCTGCGAATGTAAAACAACAGGAATAAAGTCTGCATTCCACAACGAATGTGCAGAGATAAAGCACAGAGCAACAGATTCTTCAGTGACATTAATAAGGTATTTGGTACACTAAGTCTAAACAAAGTTTGTATGAGAAGGAGTATTTATAGTAACCTTCTGCTATCTGCCTCAAATGTAATTAATTGACTATATAAAAAGCCATTAGCATTCTCATTTCTTTTCCCCAAACTAAACCAAAGCAGATAACATAATTCATGAGCCAGGATTAAAAAGAAAAAAAGCAAGATCAGGATGTTCCTTTAGTATTAATGCAAATGTCCCCACACCTCCAAGCTTGAAAAGAGAAAATCAAGGAAAAGTTACACTGGGATGTAAGAAACAGGAGATAATTAAGTAACATTTTGGTTGCCTATGATTAAAAGTAAATGGCAGCTGACTTAGGTTCAATAACATCACTTTATAATTTTAATTTTTCATCATTACTGTTTTAAAAAGTTGTTTATGGACTTTCCATAAAACAACTCAACCCGCTACCTTCTGTCAAAACCCAGCAAGTCTGTCCAGATCCCAGAAATGTGGCCCATATAAGATTTAAGCAACATACATGGTAAATTAAAAAAGATATCATACTTTTCTCCTTTGTTAAATACAAGAAATAACTTATTTAAACAAAAGCCACATTTTAAAGTAACATATTAGAGAAGTTTCTAGTAAACAAATGCAATGCATGATTTCTTACATTCCTAACTAATCTTCATAATATTCCTTATCAGTTTAAGCTTGTGTAGTTATTTTTATATGCATTTCTATTTTACCAAATTTATTCTAGTAATATTCTTTACCATCACAGAGCTGACTTTTCCTAGTTTGCTTGGCATGTGATTCTTGGATAATTCTTTATCCACTAATATTTCTTTTCACTTTCCCTTATTTTTTCTCCTAAATCATCATTGAAAGAGAAAGGGGCGCCATTTCCAACTCTTAGCTTTCCTGTGTCGTATCCATCAAAGGAGAGGAAGAAGGAGGGGGAAAAGAAGAAGAAAGAGAAGAAGGAGAAAAAGGAGGAGGGGAAGGAAGAGAACAAGAGGAGGAGTCAACCAGCAACATAAAGAATCTTTTGCAACAAATTTTATTTTCTTATCACTCATCTCCTGGGGAAGAAACAATACCGACTTCCCCATCAACAATAATAGCTTATTTTCCAGTAGTTTTCACGTTACTGTTCGCTTAGCTCTGTTTAATAAATCAGTTGAAAATCTATGCTCCTTCAGAGACAGAGACCAAAATATTTTCAAACACATACAAACCCACAGACACACATTTTTGAACTATGAACCACACTAATTTAGTGACGGCAATGTTCATTATTCTCTTTCCAATCTTTAATACAGAGTTTGACATCTTCTAGGGGCTTAAGAAATGACAAATAAATAAATAGTCAAAAGACACACCCAACTACTTTTTCTTATTTCAGAAACACCAAAATGTTGTGAAAGTAAACATTATGTACAAGAGAAGTATAATTCCGTGGTTAGCATTTTGTTCCTATACAAAGATAACTTTGATTTTATTTATAGTTCTGAAATTGATGGATGTGTTTTGTGAATACAAGACATTTGTATTAGTGTTTTCTTCCTATCAAATGGAAATTGTCACATTCTATAATTCAGTTCACTGAACTTTAACTGTCATAATTATTTGTCTATTTAGACTATTTCATTACTTAAGTCAGAAAATGACTTAGTAATGAAAATTTAGATCCTTTCTAAGGCATCCGTGGTACAGACTCAGAAGACAGCCCTCTAATAGGTCTCCTATGCATTTTGAGATTTTGAGATAATGATTCAAGAAACAAATTATAAACCTCACCTCCTGGAATGTGTAACCTGTGTAAGGTGGTTAGCACTTTCTCTCTACCCTGTATGTTTCTAAGCACAATAGCAATGAGTTCAAAACGCTCAATGCAAAAGCTTCCCATTTAATTAACATTTCCTATTATTAATTGTAAATATTCATAATTAATCTCTTCTTACTCTGCACAGCTAAGGCACATTGTACTCCTGGTAGAAGATTTATTGGTCTGTCTTGCATTAAAATCATTCACTTACGTATCTATCTGTCTGTGACACCAGATCGTGAGCACCCAGAGGGTAGATTCAATGACTTATTCACCTAGATTTCTCCTGTGTCTAGCACATTATTACTCTGTACTAATAGATAGTTGGAAACACTTATTGAGTTAAATTTTCATACTTAAAATGCTTGACAATCCGCATATCTATTTTTTTTTTTATCAGATGCCATCTGGCTAAGGGTAGTCTTCCTAAGATATGATCTTTCAGCCAGTAATTCTTTTCCTTAAAAAATCTAGAAACAGGTTGTGCATGGTGGCTCATGTCTGTAACTCCAGCACTTTGGGAGACAGAGGCAAGAGGTTTGTTTGAGGCCAAGAATTCAAGACCAGCCAGGGCAACATAGTGAGACCTTGTCTCTACAAAAAAAAAAAAAAAAAAAAATCAAAAATTTAGCTGACATGGTGACACACACCTATATTCTAAGTCACTTAGGAAACAGAGGTGGTAAGACTGCCTCGGTCCAGGAGGTCAAGGCTGCCATGAGCAGTGATTGTGCCACTGGACTTCTGCCTGGGCAACAAAGTGAAGCCAAAACAAACAAACAAAAAATCTGAAAACAGAAAAGAGTGGGAAATAAGGCTTATATTAGTGGATCCTTGACCACTTTGTGCAAACTGTCTCCCCACTCATCCTTCAAAGTACGGGACTCTAACTCTAGTACAATTTATGTCCTTGAGGAGTTTCAAAGAATCTGTTACCATCAGACTGAATCCCAGGGAAACAGCCTAGGCTGATGTCAGGATGGCAGCCTTTGGCATCAGACAGCCGGGTTCCAGATCTCAATTCCAGTACCAACTCACTGAGCTACCTAAGGCAAGCTATTTACCCTAGCAAATGTTTTTTAAAAAAGTTATTTGCATTTTTAAAATGGGGATAGTCATAGTATGTGCCTAGTAGATTATTTTAAGGAATAGAAGATAGTCCACGAACATTACTACTCAGCAAATCAGATCAGTACAGTGTCTGGGACCTGATAAGTGGCTAATTAATGACTATTAAAAAATTCTTTGGATTTGTACAACAGGGCTTAGAATGAAGTGGGTGCTCATTAAATATTTGTTAAGTGGGGCTACTTTTTAATTCCTTCTGACCTTGACCTTAGTGATTTTATTTAAAACAAACCTCCCAAATATCAGAGTGAGACTCCAACTCAAAAAAAAAAAAAAAAAAGACATGCTAGGAACACATTCTAAAGATGCTTTCCAACTGACCTGATCATATGGGGGAGGATAAGGTTACAACGGATCACTTCCTCTCATTTAAATTATTTTCTATAAACCTTGTCTACAGCCGAAAGCAAAATGCCATGTTCTGTTCAGATTTTTAAAAGGATAATTTATACAAGAAGTAGATTCATTTCTTCCACATAGATTTAAAAACAGTGACTTATTCTATGGCCTAGGGTACTAGGAGTATAATATCAAACTCAGGTCCCTTGACAGAGTGTAACAACAAACAGAGGTATTCAAGTGGACACTATTCCAAGGAATATGTGCTTAATTTCTCCTATACATTTAAAATACAGATAATAATTATAGCAGGTTCTTAAACACAAAAACTTGCCTAATACTAAAGAACAAATTTTAGGATTGAGTAGGATTATGATCTGCTATATCATAGCTGATATACATAACTTTATAGTAAAAATGTTCTTTTAATTGATTCTACTTCAAGTACAAAGAAATTTTTAATAAATATTATCTCAATGATAAAGTTAGGTTGCCTGTTACTATAGGAATATCAAATGTGCATTCAAATCTAAGGGGTGATAATCTTTTGAGCAGTAAAAAAGGGCCAAGTCATAGAGAAAAATACACTTTTAAAAAGTAGGCCCATATACATCAAACACTGAAACATCAACTCTGGATTTTTAAGTAAAATAATCTTAAAACACTAATCCTTTTTAAGTAAACACATATTTGATGAGATTGGTGCTTTCAGGGTGATATGGCCATAGATAATAAAAATGTATTTGATACCCAGATGTCATTGGAGAAAACACTATATTTTATAGCAATGAAATAAATGTTGCTATGAAATAGACCAGCACAAGGATAATCACCAGAGTATCTAATTCACTTAGAATTAGATGAACTGAATGCTAAAAATGTCTCTACCCTCTACATAAAGAGATTGTTACTTTTTTTCTTTCCATTGATCTAGAGTTAGACTACTACAGTCATTAAATAGCAGGGCAGCTTAAAAATAGCACAGCTAACACCTTTGTTGAGGTGTAGGCCAGCATCACATAATCAAACACATTCATATACAAAGTATGAATTATTATATCACGTGGGATAACTTGAGTCTATAAATAGATTCTGGTCAGGTTAAGGCATGTTTTCCTGCCAGGTGAGTTCAGACTGAGTCCATTTCTTTCAATCACACTGTGATAAGCACACAGGTTGGAGATATCACTCTAAGGAAAAAGCAAGAGACTCTTACCTTGGCACATGGAACCTCTCTCTTCATAGCCAGCATTGCAGGAACACTTGCCAATGGGTACAAGCCATTCGCCTTCTGTGCTGCAGTACATCCTGGGAGGGTCTTCCTCCTTAGAATTGTTGACACAAGAACCTCTAACCTCCACCAGGGACTGGGAGTCCATGGGTACTGTGTCTGGAAACATAGCCAGATTCTTCACTGTAAACGGGCATTTTTTGAAATACACTCTCACAGACACCAAGGCAACACAAGCACCAACATCTTGAAAAGCCAAATAAAATCCCTTTTTGTTGACAGGACCTACTTCTCGAATCTCAGTGTTGAGTTTAAGAATACGGTCCCCGAGATCCATCTGAGTGAAACTTTCATCAGCCGCAATGGTGTCAATCTTTGTAAACTGATGCTCTCGGAATTTGACCCCGTGATCATCATCTGACTCCATGTAGTACAGGTTGAATGTCTCCTTGCAAGTTCCCAGAACCAATGGAATGCTATTGCAGTCTCGCAGAGTGAACTTGAGCTCCACGTAAATCTTCTGAGCAGAGTTCCTGGGAACCCAGTTTGTCCTCAGCCAATTATTTTGGCTGTGATCCATGACATTGCACACCTGGTAAGTCCTGATGGGTGTGTAATGTTCATCAACACCACTGATCTCTTCCCACTGAAGAATCGAAGAGAGAAAAAGAAAGAGAGAGAGGACTAGAATTAATGATAATAATGAATACAAGAGGAGGGTGTCAAAGACATCATAGGAACCATAAAATAAATCGGCAGTAACTTCAGTGCTGCTCCTTAAAAATCTTGATGTGGGGGAATGTCGTAACATTTTTGTTTATAGTTTCTATTATTTGCAAGAGACCCTGAATTCATGAACTCAAAAGAATTTGTAATTTTGATGAGCACATTTCAATTGAATTGCAATTTGTTGGATCTTTAGGAAAAGGTAACTTAGTCTGGCCAGACATTCTAGGATCAAAACCTCAACTCAGTTACCTCCAATGACACAGTTGTTTTTGTTTTTTGTTTTTCCCCCGTATGTTTTTGTTTTGTTGTTTTGTCTCACTGTTTATCTAAAATAAAATGAAAAATACCACGTATAAAATTTATCTTTATTAATCTTTTCTCAATTTGGGCCAGGTTTTTGGTAAAAATTGACATAAAACAAAATAAAGTGAATCTAAATGGCATTATTGTCATGTATCTGCATGCATGGAATTTTAAAATTATTATCATTTCATTGAATAGATGTTGGGAGCTATACAAAAATTGAAGTAAAAATATAAACATGCCTTACATGCCCCCCTCTAAATAAAACCTTAAGTTATGCCTGAAAAACAGAAGACAGAGTGAACAGTCAATTCTTAATGCCTTTGCCCACACTGAACTTTTACAATCTATAAATATATAGATATTTGGGTTTTATTTTATTCTTCTAGTTGTTATAATCATTAAGGCCATCTTCATACAACTTTTTTTACTCTAAAAAGACTTCAAAAGTACCCTTTGAGAACACAGAAGCACTATTTTCTGTGATCCTTAGAAAAGATTATGAGAAGTTTTAAACTTAGCAACATGTTGTTTGTGTTCCTTAAGATCCTAAAACTATTATACCAGCTGTTATCCCTGTATCTGCACTTTCTTCTTATCTTGCCCAATTTCGCCTGCTATGTCCTGAAAAACCTACCTTTTGCCATGTCATTCTTGAATTCAAAGTCTTCCATGGTACCCTGTTCCTTAAGCAAAAACTTTCAAAGCCTTTGATTTGTCATTTGCGGTTCTCTAAAAACTAGTCCTAAAATTACATGGTAGTTTTCCTAAATGGTTGAATTGAGATTAGTGAATTACAACTCTCCTTTCTGGACATGCTATGCCCTTGTCAATGTGAACTCTTTCACTATTTCCAAAAGAAAGGTCGGATCGTCTGTCCTTTGTCCCTTTCCTTTGGGATAACTTCTCTGGACTGTGCTCTTTGGTGCTCCACACCTTCCATGAGCTGGCCATTCTTTTGTATTCTTTTCTTTTTTATTTTTTTGACTTGAGATCTCATGCAGTGGTGTGATCACAGCTCAACCACCTGGGTTCAGGCAATCCTTCTACCTTAGCCTTCTGAGTAACTGGTGCACACACCATGCCCGGCTAATTTTACATATATTGTAGAGTCGTGGTCTCACTATGTTACCCAGGCTGGTCTCAACTCATGGGCTCAAGTGATCCTTCCTCCTGGATCTCGCAAGGTGCTGGGATTGCAGCCATGAGCCACAGTGTCTGGCTAAAACTCTGCCATTCTTAAGAACATATTTGTATTATATAACACTTATGAAATGCCCTATTCCTTTGCAACTTTAATTCATGATACACACTGAGGTGAGTTAGTTTTGTCTGACAGACATTTGTTAAATTTTAGATTCCTTCATACCCTCCACAGTACATAGCACAAGCTTTACCTTTTGGGATATGCACAAAATTATTTCTTTCTTATAACATATGTAATAACTATTCATGGGAAAAAAGCAATAAAAAATTTCTTATAAAACATATTTATATTTTGTATATAAATTTATAAATAAAATCCTTGTGAAGCCATTATGTGTTCCTCAATGTAGGAGTTAGTAAGATTCATCAAAAACAGTAGGTTTTCAACACTTTTAACTAAATCAAAAGCATTTAAGGAGTATTAAATTTTTTATATGTTTATCTATTAAAGATGTAGAAATTTCAGTTCACACCTTCTAATCACAAAATAAATTAAAATGTTCATTTATTAAATTCATGGTAACAACAAGCAAAGAACCATGGCACTTATTTGGCCTTTAGGCCTTCTTAGGGAAAAACGGATTATTTATATTAGGGTGTTTAAATGATCAAAGACAATTTGAGGACTCCAGCAGTGGTAGAAACACAGTTTCTTGTTGTTGTTGTTGTTGTTGTTTTTGCTGTTCGTTTGTTTTTGAATCAGGGGTCTCTGTCACCCAGACTGGAGGGCAGTGGCATGATCATGGCAGCTTCAGTGTTCCACCCCAATCTCCTGAGTAGCTGGGACTATTGTCATGTGCCACCATGCCTGATTTTTTTTTTTTTGTAGAGATAAGGTCTCTCTATGTTGCCCAGGCTGGTCACAAACCAGGTCCAAGCAGTTCTCTCACCTCTGCCTCCCAAAGTGCAAGAATTATAGGTGAGAGTCACCATACCAAGCAGAAACACAGTTTAAAAACTTCTAATTCTTCTAGCTAATCTACAAGTTAGAAACAAAACAAGTAAAAAGCATTACTGATTTTAAAAACCTTGAATATTTGAGATCTAGAGCATGAGACAAGCACTCATTTCCTGGAGGTAAAATTGACCTTAGAAGTAATATGGGCCGGGCTCGGTGGCTCAGCCTGTAATCCTGCGCCTTTGGGAGGCTGAGATGAGTGAATTGCCTGAGCCCGCGGGTTCGAGACCCACCTGGGCAGCGAGACCTCATCTCTACAATAAATCAAAAAATCAGCCGGGCGTGGTAGCACATGCCTGTAATTCCGGCTACTCGGAAGGCTGAGGCGGAAGGATCGCCGGAGCCCAGCAGGTTGAGGCTGCGGTGGCCGGGAGCGGCCACTGCACTCCAGTCTGGGTGACAGAGTGAGACTCCAACTCAAAAAAAAAAAAAAAAAAAAAAAAGAAGTAATATGGAAGCTACTTTTTTGCGTTAGTATACAGAAAAAAATTCACATTATATTTTAAATAATGGCTGACATACCATTTTTAAACAACCTTTTAATGCATATATTCTGTAAAAAGCTTTTAAGAAGAGATGTGTTTATAAGACTCTCAGTTCCTAGAATTTTACACCGAGGTGCTTATAATAATATTGTCACAACAAAGCAAAATTAAGGTACTCATTTAATATCAGACAAAAATAAACAGACACTGTGCTCCAAAAATCTCTGGTATGAAAAGTCAGTGGAAAGTAGAATTTTCTAATTATCATTACACTCATTCTACACTGACACTGGCAAGTACAGAGCTAGAAAACTCCAAGAATGAATGCTCTCTGTAACCATTTTCTAGAAAATTAACACATGACAATACTATTTGAAACCGAACCAATTGACTTTACATTTTTTAAATCAAGATTTTCTTTGATGAAGAGGTGAGATTGTTACTTTGATGAATCGTTTGCAAATTTCTTCTGTAGTGAACAGCATTTTACTAGACTTCAAATGGACATAGTATGTGGAGATTTTCATAATTTGATGTAAAATATGATTTTAATTATGGAGACGTCAATGTAGTTTAACATTTGGCAAGCTATCACAAGTCCTTGAATGCAGAGGTATAAATTGCAAGAAGATAATGCAAACAGCACCAGTATTCTTTGCACATAAAAGGTTGCAGAGAGCAATTATCACTTCATTAATTTGTAATGAAGACCAAATTGCCTGTAAGTGATGGTGGCTTGCCATCTCAAACCACTTGCAAAAACAACAAGTCTCTAATTCTAGTATTTGCTAAGGACTGAAGGCAGTAGGAGTAAAATCCTTCAATGAGAATTTTCTCAGTAGCAGTAGTAACAAGAAAAATCACTAATTGCTGTAATGCTTATGCTTTATTAATATAAAGAATGCTCACGCTTATTCAATTTTCCAGTCTAAGAATTCATATGTAATGTTCATAAATCATTAAAGATTTTATACAGCTATAGGAATTGTCTCAAAACAGACTGGAAAAAGGAAATGGGAGACATACATAATTGGTGGCAAAGAGTGGTTGAAAGCATCTTTCTCTTCCTTTTCCTAGTCCTTAAGGGAAAAAAAAAAAATCTCTGTCATGGGTGTCCAGTAGTAATGTTGTCTTCAGTAAAAGGGGGTACAGACTCAGGAAGCGCTCAGTTACTTCCTAAATCTTGAATTCCCCAAACCCAACAATTCTGATTTTTAGTCTAGTTTCCAGATTTCTACTAAGCTTTTATTATTAAACCACAGAGGTCAAGACTACGTTCCTTGTCTTTTACCTTTTTCCAGATTATTGCAATTTTTATAAGAGAACTATGCATCCAGGCTTTCTCTCCCCAAAGAGCTCATGCTGAAATTCATTCCCATGAACTTCATCACAGTAAACCTCTTCACCATCAAAGGTAATGCAGGATACTAAGGAGACTCTAAGTTTATATTTTCTAGATAGTGCAGTTCCTCATCATTGGGTTAAACTTGTATTTTTGAGAGAAATGCACAATTTTAATAATTAATTGGCCTCTAACCTAAAAACCGCTATTCAAACATATCCTTATTTTAGTAATTAAGGAACTATACTTATTGTTGATATTAATTACTCTCATGGAAAATGTTTTTAGCTAGTCGCTAACCAGAAATAAGGGGAGAACGTTACATTATCTTTAAGAGAGAAAGAAGCTGCAATACTTTTAGTGCACAGGTGAAAATGACTTGAAAGATACTAAGAGTGTGAAAAAATAACTCCATGATTTACTTTTTAAGACTTAAAACCATTTTTTTTAGAAATTTTCAGATTACAATAGAAAGTGACATCCCAATGTTCTTACAATTACAATATTTACTTTGGTATTTTAATTGCTAGCAAAAAAATCAGTTTGTATTTTACAAAAGGCTAATCGTGATTAATCTTACACCCAATCACTTTAAGTGATATTAAGTTGGTTCGTGTTACTCC